TTAAACTATTACTTAGAATTCTTGCATTTGCTTTTCTGCTAAATGTATCAACAGTAATATTTGAGCATTTGCAAAATTCTACATAAAGACTTTTAGATGGAATATAAGAAGAAGCGAGAGAAAAATGAAACCAGGCAGTAAAGTCCGAAACAGGGTAAGAAAAGTTCCCAGCAACTATGGTCATGTCTCAGTATCCATTCAGATACTCTTAACACAAAACAACTTCAAAACAACCATGCTAAAGGTAGGGCAGCCAGTTTACAAAGGGGACAAGGGTTAAAAAAAAAAAAAAGGAGGGAATTGGCACATAGCTTTTTTTTTTTTTCTTTGTTTGAACAGAGCAGGCAATTCATGACTCTTGACAGCATCTTCAAAGTCAGGACTGATGTTTTAAACATAGCATGAGAAACAGCAAACAACCACAGTTCACTGAAACACAGCTCTTTTCCTTCTGGGTCTTGTTTGAAAGAGATTGAGTGAGGTGGGGCAGATGGATGAGGTATTTGTTGAACAGGAACAAGTCACCAGAAAGCAGTCTCTTCTGAGAGCCCTACACAGCTTGACTTTACTCTAGCATCCTGAAGGCAATGTACCATTGTCTTCTATTTTAGTGTTTTGATTAACTCCTTAAAACAAGAGGTCCAAGAAACAGACACAGGTCTCTGTACAGAACCTAGGGTCAAGGTCAGGATCTTCTGGCACATAATTGATGCATTAGCCATGCTCCAAATTACAGTATCAGCTGCACCTAAAAGTAGTACAACCAGTGAACTGAACTTCTGTCAACAATGCTGATAAACTAGTGTGACAGCACTAGGGATCACATCACATAAATCCTATGTAATGCAGCACCCTGTGACCGTATTTGCCCATGACAGCTTTGAACATAGCTGAACTGCACTGAAAGAATCCAGATGTAAAAGTATTTTTCTTCTCCCTCCAAAGTAACAAATGAGACTCTGAATTCCTTAACAATAATTGTTTTTGAAGTTTTACGCGTCTGTATATATGAGGGATGTAAATAAGTCATGTATGAAGTTATCTTAATTTCTGTTATAGGGATTTGACATCTAAAACTAATTCTATGTACTATGAAGCTACAGCCAGCTCAAGTTCACCACAGCAGGTTTCCAGGCAAGCTCCAGACACTGCCCATATAAACTGAACGTAGTGTCCTCTCTAATTGCCCTACTGCAATGAGCTGTGCAAAACCTTCACCAGAAACATGAAACACGCATGCTATTCTGAACAGCACAGGGAGCTGGGAACCCCCAATGCCTCTGACTGTTGCATTTTTCTGAAATAGGAGAAATGATCCCTTGTGCCAACACATCCTGGACAACAGAGACAAACCTCAACAGAACAGGCACATCTCAGTGCCAGTGAGCAAGTGATGCACCTAGGAGCAGGAGAGATGCACATTTACTATGTCCCTGTGGAGGTGGATGGAGATAGCTGTTGTCAAATCCCAAATGGGTAGATTAAGGAAAAAAATGTTACTGTGCTTCCCTTCTGAAGGGGAAGAGACAAAGTTTCTACTCCACTGGAGCTGTAATTACATACCATAGCTCCTACAGAAGTTTTCCATGGGAAACATTTTCCCATGTTTTGTCAAATAGTAGAGAACAGTCCATTTGAAAAGTAGAGCCAGCGGCTCCGCAAACCAAATTCAGTCTCGCAGAGTTTTCTTATAATATGACAGCAGAGAGAAATGCTTCAAAGCAGGACTTGCAAAGAACCTGCATAAATAGGACAGTGGTTCTGCTCACCATAGAGTGACTCAACATGAACGAACAATATGCACATCAAAAGGCAATGCACCAAAAGCAATACGCCCATACGAAACTCCAAGAGTCTCAGTGTTGAGGATTCAAAAACTGGTGACAAAGCACTTACTCCACAGATCAGCAGCGACTATCACAGATTTCTGCAGCAGGAGAGAAACAGCTCATCTGTACCAGAATTAGACACAGGATCCTCACAAGCTTTTCTGTAGCAGCCATACAGGGATGCAAGACTATGCCAGTAGAAGATGAGGAGGCAGGCCTTTGAGCAGATGATTTAACCTCAGAGCATTCATGCCTCACCCTTAGCAGCTGTGACTTAAGACTCCTTCTAGACTTTCCAGAAGGCTTCTTCCAAAAGATTGTGTGTCTGATAGCTGTATGCAGACTTCTGAGCTGGTCTCCAAACATGAAGGGAGAGGAGAAAAATTAAAAAGGGAAATTCAAGAGGCTGCTTTTATTTGTAGTTCTTTGATTTAAATGGTCTTAAGTAATATTTCCTTTTACCTCTAATATCTTAAATGACAGATATTTTTTTTTTTCCTTTTGATACTTGTGCCAATTTGGAGTTTCAGGTCAAAAAAATTCTATCCAAAGTGCACAGCTTTAGGCAACTGAATCCAGGCAGAAAAACTCTGAGCACATGTCTTTGCTCGTTCCTACAGCTTCCAGTGCTTTATAATTAGAAATTTCTCAAACAATGGGACTCAACAGTTACAGTAATTCTGTAATAGTAATTCTGCTGCTGTTTTTCTTCCTTTACATCTAATGTAGAGATAATTATCTCTTTTCCAATTCTCAAAGGTTTTTTAAGTTATTTAATTTGCTCTGCAAAACGCTGGCATTACTTTTGAAGATGAGGTGTTAAGTGTAATCCAGAGCCATTTCTCTCTTTGTTCACTATTTGAAGATGTTTCTCACAGTCCTTTGTCCTCCTTGACAGCTCCTGACAGTTTTATAGGTGAGGATGTGTCAAATACTATAGCTGCATTGGTGGCTCTCCATAAGCATGCTTTTTGACAGTTAGTAAGGTTAGATACAACAAAATTCCTAATGTTTTTATACTGCAGGCATTTAAGCATCCTCCTGGAACCAAAATT